CATAAAACAATATGGCACTGGTCAAAGTAAGTGGAAATAATTAGCCAGCGCACTGACTGCTGGTACGAAGATGCGCTTTTTTACACAGTTTCTCGCAGGGTTTTGTCGCTAACGGCACTGTTTTTTCCGGCAGATGCTTCCAGCTAAAAGAATTGAGCCTGGCCACCACTACTATTAGTAATCATCCTCTTAAGATTTCAGCTCCCCAGCTTTTCTCGTTCTCGAGTTAGCAACTTATCTGCCAAAAATTTTCACAGGCCCGTACGTGGGAACTATGTGGGCAAGAGTATTCATTTTGGGATACAAACCTGTACATGCGTGTAGATTAAGTTACCAAATTTAAGCCTTATAGCTTTTGTAGGTCCCGAGATGAAAAATCGGTACATACATACATACACAGATACATACATACATACACACGCACGTACAGACAATCCTTCGACAAATATGCGTTTTTGCATTGCATAAATGCAAGAAATGTATTAAAATGCAGGCACAGTAGTATAAGAACTAGATTGCGAATTATGTGTAATTTGTTAATGAAAAGAATATCACTTCGAAAAACCACGGGGAGAGAGTACATGTACAACATGTTGCCAAATTCCATCAGTGTAAATCTTATTCGCTCCAACAAAATGAGAATTTTAGACAGTCGACTAAGATTTCCAACACAGAGATCGAATGTTATGTAAGTTAACCAAATCCTGGCTAAACAACCGAGTTAATTCTGGTCATCAGCATTTGAATCCTGAACTATTTTCATTTTGGAATACATTGTAACACAAAAAAAATCTCACCTGCTGCCTTCCGAGTGGTGTAAGGTAGATGAGTTTAGTTGCGGGATCAACATAATGATCCGGTATTTGCTTCGCCAACGAATTTGGTGAGTAGGACGAATCCCGCAATGTTTCAGAAGAATCAGTAGCAGCAGCAGCAGGAGTCTCTCTGCTTCGAAACTCATTATCTTCTCCGCCTATCAGAGCGATTTCTGCACTCACAATAAGCCTCTCGAGTTCTTCAAGCGCTTTTTTGTGCTTCGAAAGACGATCCTGCTCATCTGCAATAGCATATTTGACTAATCTACTTTGATAATGCAATAACATATAAAAATCAAGGAGGCTATATGCAGATGATATGATCCATAACAAAATTGCGGAATACCTTATAACTGAATTACCAGCTGAAATACTTAGAATAGCTTAATTCATAGCTTGATTTTTCAACTATGCGACTAGTAATGTTCAAAATGCTTTCACAATGCTGTATTGTCTAGTGATCATCCGCTCAAAGTAACTCGAAGCTAATTTCTCAACTTATGAACAAATCACGTGGAAAAATCCATTTAATTTTTCAAGGTATTTTACATCAGTAGGCTGCGTATTCGCCTTTACAATTGTGACTTTGTTACTGTTAGAAAACTTTTAGGCAACTAAGAATTCCCGACACCCCTCCCCTGCGACTGATTGTTGCTGTTATGGCGCATGAAGCTGAAAAACTACAGGACTGGTGTGAACAATATAATACATCAAACATTTTTTCCTTCTAATTTTCAAAAAAAAAAACCCAAGAGAAGTGAAGGGAAGCCGGAAAACGAGCATCAAAATCACCAGCAGGCCCAATACCCAATCATATTAACACTGTTTCATTTAGAGCAATCAAAAAATTTTCAGCTAAATCGATGACGTGAAGATGAGCTACGATAAAAAAAAAAACCTGCCAAACCCGTTCAAACTTGCAAGATCGAGGCAAAAATCAATTCCCCCATATCTATTATTCATGAGAGGTGAAAAAACGACAAACCGAGTGGTAGCACGTACCAACAGCAACCACTCACAGACAAGGATATAGATGACCTCCATCTCAAACACTGCTTAATCTCAGTACCAATTTATCATCACAACGGATGGGATCACAAACTGGCTGTTTGTTTCATTAGCGAAGCGGAACGTTTGACCTCTAGCACAAGAGCTGCGCTGCCTTGTTACCGCAGTGACAAGTTGCACCGTCCATTATTGGAATAGTCCGAGTGGTCCGAAACATTTCTTACCTACTTAAATAATTCTTTAGAACCCTTTCATCGTTTTTGCTCATATTTTCTCTCTAATCCTACATGGTATTTTGGTAAACTTTTGAGTTTTTCGGGGAAAAAAAAACTAAAATTTCAGAGATAAGAAAAACAATTGCTGCAAAATTTATAACTCTTTCTACTGGGAAAGCATTTCTTGGTAATAAATTAACTCAACAAACCTCCGCAAAGAAAGAACCGCTGGAACCAATTTGCTTTTTGCAACCTCATTTCCTCGCCAAACACTTTTGCGCGAAATTCATCCGCATTTTCTCGCAGTGTATTCATCAAATTTAGAACGTTCGATTCGATGCTATACTCCAACTCTTCGTACACCTGCAAAAACATGATCTTACTAGATTTCTAAATACTACAATCTCCAGCACACAAAGCTTTCTTACGCAACCCGTATAACAACAATTCAGCTAAATGCTGCCATTTGTTGAAAAAAGCAATTCTCACAAAAAAAA